CAGATAATGAAAGTTTTGAAGTGGCTTAGATAGTTCGTTCCTCAGAACTTAGATGTCTACATATTGCCTTTAAAATTCCTAATTGAAGCCTCCTGTTGACTAGTCCCATAAAATTACAGCATTTAATTAAATTTAATCAACTTAAGCTGTTTACAGCAATGTAGATTTTTCAAGCTCTATTTATCTTAGTTTACCGCTTAGAACACCTCCGGTGGCTTGTTGTAAGTTTCGTTTCATCAGGGCATGGGCTGAAAATTACCCTGTGTACAGATTACATTAGAAGTTCTGAAACTTTGATATTGCGATTACTATGACGATATAAGTATGGATTTTCGTTGACTGATGAATGTACAGAAAATTGCAATTGCATAAGCATTGTGATCTCTAAGCGCCAATAAGGAATGTATGAGCTTCTACATTAAAAGAATTTTGTGCTTGAAACTTTCTTTTTAGCATACTTGAATTCATGGTCATATGGTCCTATCGATTTTTCCATCATTCCATGTTCCTTACGCATGTTTTAATCCTGTTATGCCAGTGTTCTGTTCATTCTGAAGAAGACATCCGTGCAAAAGCCATCCGACTTGTAAGAAAATTAGTCCCAGATAGCAATATGATTCTTATTTACTGCTGCCTACTGGTACAGTAATTCTAATTTATATTTTCTTAATGCCTGCACAGGTCACAAACAAACTATATCACCTAACATACATATCAGAGCATGTTGAGCAATTTGCAACTGATATGTTGTTGACTGCTGTGAACTCTGAAACAGATCTCGCACAGACTGGATTTATTGCAGAAGGAAAAACAGAGGTAATAGCATATAGTCTAGTCTGTAATTGAGTGAGTGTCATTCCTGTGAAAGGGTAGGGTAGTAAAGCTCCAAAAGCCATTAACAGTTCTATTGAGGGCGTTTAGCTTAGTTCTCGTTGAGTTTTATATAGAAAGGCTTATTACTCTATAGAACTTATTAGCTGTCAGTTGCTTTTTGTGCCTGTTCTCGTAAGCCTCTAAAATTGTGAGGATTACCTAGTCGATGCAATGAGCATGCTTCAGTTTATAAACCTTGACTTTTTGTGGGTTGATTAGCGGACACTTATTTTCAGGCTAAAAGTCAGATAACTTCGACAAGTGATTCTCCACGGTCTGGAACCTCCGACATTCACTCACAGCAGGATCTACAAACTGCTCGTGATGTTTCTGTTTTATCAATTTCTGAAGCTCAGAGACTAATATCTCTGTTCTTCGCTTTATGTAAAAAGGTTTGCTCCTAATGCTCAAAATATGCTCTATCCTTATATTTTCCCGTTGTTCTGATTAATACTGTAAACTTTTCCAGAAACCTAGTCTCCTTCGACTTGTCTTTGAAGTTTACGGTAGAGCTCCAAAAACAGTAATTCAGGTGAGTTAGTCTTCCTCCCTAATAAACGCTCACGCTACTTATGTGCATCACGTGTGGCATGGTACAGAAAAATATTCCGAGTTGTGAATGGAGTAAAAGTTATTCACAAACATCAAACTGAATTTGTTGAAATGGTTCAGGCTTTTCATCGACATATACCTATCCTGATACGAGAATTAGGTTCATCTTATGTGGAACTGCTCCAAATAATATCTGATCCTCCTAAGGGAAGTGAAAATCTATTGACGTTGGTAAGTAGCTTCTGTGTTTCCTTGTAGTAAATCCACGTTGGCCTCAAAAGTTATTCTAATTTTGAATCATACTCGTTTATTTTTTTATGTTAAGGTGTTGCAAATATTAACACAAGAATTGGCACCTTCGTTGGATTTGATTGCTACTGTAAAGCATCTATATGAAACGAAGCTAAAGGTTTGGTTTGTTATGAAGATCTCTCTCGTATATTTTTCTTGTGTGTATATATTTTATAAAAATCAAGATTGCTAAGCCTTACAGAAGAAGTTGTGTTCTGCAGGATGTTTCAATTCTTATTCCTTTGCTTTCCTCACTCACTAAAGACGAGGTTATTTTCTACATTCTGCTCTTTCCAGTTTCCACTACTTTTTCCCTGAAGGGAGATGAAAAGTCTTGTAACTTTTTTTCTCTTTTACACCCCGTTGTTTTGCCTATCCTGAAATTTGGAAATAAATAAGAACTAGTAACCATGGAAGAATTCTGAGATTTTGTGGTCCTTTACTGGAAATGATGTTTGTAATTGCTCATCAATGGTAGAAGCTCCTTATTTTTATGACGGACATTTTTTTTTTTTTTTGTGACAGGTTTTGCCCATCTTTCCTCCCCTTCTTAATCTTCCACCTGATAAGTTCCAACTTGCACTAGCTCATATATTACAGGTATCGGCATATTCTCACTGTCCATCGTTTAATTGTTGTCTTAGATATGTTTGAAAAATACTGTATATACGTAATTTGTTTCATGCATTGTTGCGTTTAGATTCTTATTTTAGTTCTTACGATTGATCTTTTTTGTCGGAGAAGTTGTGCTCTCTCTGACAGAATAAATACTTTCTTCCGCTGTAACAACTTGTCAAATCCTTTTTGTTAAATCTGTGATAGGGTTCTGCTCACACCGGCCCTGCCCTAACACCTGCCGAGGTACTAATTGCTATCCACGATGTTGTTCCTGAGAAGGATGGGCCACCACTGAAAAAGGTATTTCTTAATTTTCCATTTTGTTTGAAAGAAATTTTGAAGAGCATGTTGCCTGCACTTGTTTGCTCGAAATCAGTTATAGTGCTAGACCTACACTGCTGTGTACCTTTTCCTATTCGAATGCAATCTGTACCACCATCCCTATCTCTTTAGTAGATTCAATAGAGGTGAGATAATCCAGAAATTAGTTGAAAAGACGTGGGTCGGGAGAGTTAGGGATTCTATCCAAGAGTCCCTTGGTTTTAGGTTTGCACATCTGTTACATAATTATAGGAGAGTTTAATCAGCCATCTTCTTAGCTGAATCAGTCTAGTCCTAATTCTTAACAAGTCCAAAGAATAATGGTAGGGTGAAGCCTCCCCGCGATTATTATATGGAATGCCCTTTCTATTTCTTGCTGTTTCCGTGCAAGCTGTTTATGGAAAGGTGGATGATGCACTCATGTCATATGATGCTACAGGAGGCTTGAAAAATAGTGCAACTAGCAACTGACTAGTTAGATTGTCAGGCTTGCGATAGACCTGACTAATCTGTGTGCCCGTGGACCTTTATGAAATTTAGCTAGTGCCTATTCTATCTGCTTTCTCTCTTGTTAGCAGAGTCTCATTTGGCCGTGTTTTGTTTTCAGATAACAGATGCATGTTCAGCTTGCTTTGAGCAACGCACTGTTTTCACGCAGCAAGTCTTAGCAAAGGCCCTCGGTCAGATGGTATGTCAAAAGCCAACATATCATAGAATAGAACGACTGATTTAGATACTTACATCTGTAATACTTTTTGGTTTCAGGTTGATCGAACACCTCTGCCTTTACTCTTCATGAGAACAGTAATTCAGGCAATCGATGCTTTTCCAACACTGGTACGTGTCGTACGTAAAACCCCAAAAGCTCTTTGTTAATACTGAATCAAAGTTACAGATATAGCGTTCTTTCCCTCGGCTTAACCCTACAAAATCTGCAAAGCTCTATGAACTGAAACTACAATTGGGTTCGCAGTATAGAGCAGCTGTATGAGCTAATAAGAAACAAACCAGAAGACCGTCTCTTTATCCCAAACGATTAGCTAATTGCACGGGCACAGTGAAGGCTTTTTTTAGTCTAAGAAATTTTGTTAGTTTGTTTAGTGGAGAAAGTGACAGGAACATACAACGAAATCGTTTCTCTAAAATATTTGGTTTAAGTTGTAGTTCAAACTATGGAATATTTTAGTCAGAGATGAAAGAAATTTTTGAATTTTTTTTGTCCAGGTTGACTTTGTCATGGAAATCCTTTCGAAGTTGGTTAGTAAACAGGTGAGTAAATATAAGATCAAACACAAGGATCAGCGTTGAGATTCATTTGCGTCTGGTGTGCTAATCATGATGGAATCTCGTTTAAATGCAGATATGGAGACTGCCAAAATTATGGCCTGGCTTCTTGAAATGTGTGTCTCAGACACAGCCACATTCTTTCCCTGTTTTGTTGGAGGTACAAGTACCGTGATAGAAGAACATATGAGTTTAGTGGGTTCACAGAAGAATCCGAATAACTCTGTGGTATTGTTTTGCAGTTACCAATGCCTCAGCTAGAAAGTATCATGAAGAAGTTTCCTGATCTAAGACCTTCCCTTACTGCTTACGCGAATCAGCCAACTATCAGAGCTTCTCTACCAAAGTATGCCCCTATATATCAAACGGACTCCTGTTATCCAATCTTTTTTTCTTTTAAGTAACACAACATGTCGGATACTGAATCTTGATGCATGTTTTACCAGTTCAGTTCTTTCAGTTCTTGGGCTTGACAATGGGCAAGATTCACGTTCACAAATGCACCCTTCAGAGGCAACTTCTTCTATTCATGGGGCAGCCTTAACGTGACACTCTCTCTGGAATAATATCGACAATTTGAAGTGTTCGAAGGAGGCAAAGCACAGATACTTAAATATTGTGCCAATGTCTTGAGACTGGCTACCACACGTATATCTGACTACTAACCACATGCGTTTGCGATTAGTAGCAAGACCAGTATGGTAGGCCAGCGTGTATGGTCATTCATATTTTCTTATCTGGTGCCCTTTTTTGTGTATATTTTTTATGAAACTTCACCGTGGCCGTGAGAATGGGTTCACTTGTAATGGATGTACAATCGCATCAACGTTGTTCCTATAAAGAGAAGGTAGAGTTTTAAAAGTTGAGAGAATATATTCAAAAGACCATATATCAATTAGCCATAGAGTTTACATGGATTCAATGTTGGTATGAATGAGTCCATCACAGTACCAAATAATTTCAAGTGCATTTTTATGCAATGATTGTGTTCGACTCCTTACGTGTCTACTGTTGTCTGTACCCGATCAAATCGACCGTATTGGATACCAATTACGGAGATAAAATGAAAATGGCGTGAAATAATCCATCTCAGAAGGTAATATAATGGGAACCATCTTACAGTAAAAACACCAAACCCAAAACATACAAAATTTTCATGTTCTTGAGTTCACGTTTTGCTTGTAATTCCTGAACACCGAACTTCAAGAGTTCATAGCCCTATTAGATTGTATCAATCTATCCCTTGTGTGTGATTCCCGTTGAATCATATACTGTCGGGCGCAGGGCGAACGGAACATTTACCAGTCAAAAGTTGTATCTTCACACTAATTCACAGTTATGAGAGCTTCGAGATTCTTCTGGATCACCCATCCTTGTGGATAAGGGACATCCCGTGCATCCAAGTGAAGATGCCAGTTCAGTATCCTCGAGCAAGCTGGTGGAACACCTTCCATCTCGCTTTCATCTGCCACCACCTGCTCTATAAATGTTGTCTCCTGCTTGGAAACACATCATGTCATTGCTAATAAGATTTACAAAGACAGATGAGAGATGAGTGCGTGCGCACCAGAGAAATACAAAAATTTAAGGAAAAGCTCAAACTCATACTTGGAAACCTTCCTTCACCGTGTCTAGTTGGCGGGTTGGATGTGAAAAGGGACGTCGCCACCTTTTAGGGTCCCAAAGTATAGTGCTGTTGAAAGCGAATCCCGACATATCCACATGGAATCTCCGTAGTCTTTTACTCTTTTCATTAGTGTGCCATCCGATTACTTGACTTCCGTTGCATACTGGACCTTCAAGGATCGCCTTGTTTTTGCTTGGCGCTAGCATCGCAACAGGCCAAGTTCCAAATCGACTGCACAAACAGAATAGATAAGCATGAAAAATTAGAACATGGGAAAATACACTTCAGAAGACGATAAGCTTTGGATATCTGAGCTCACAGCATTCAACTCTTTGGAAAAAAAATTCGGAATGCTCAGAACACTGAGACAAGGTACACAGAGAAGTTCAACAAAACCCTTTCCAATAACAAGAAATGAGGTATTTTCTTAAACAAACAAGTCTGATCACATGGAAGAGCAAGCAGCAAAAGCAAATAGTAAGATCAGAGGCAGGGACAAAAACATCTCAGATTTTGTGCAGAAACCTTCTAATTTCGACATCATAGTAATAGGCGTATGCTTCTGAAATTGTTTATATAGGGGGTCTTTAACATAGCAGTAGCGTCAAAACACTGGAATCACTGAGACTGCACGTAACAAGAAGGCACAAAAGATGCCAACACTAGAAGTGAAGACAATAGAGTTCTGCTCAAATAACAGCTCAAAATTGAAGCACATTCTCTTAACAGATTCAAACACACGATCTCATAGCTCTGTTTCTCACAAATTACCAAGTAGCACCTATCCTACATTCCATCCACTACCACAAGCAAAAGTAAAGACCACTATTTTAGACTCACCTGATTTGCCTTAAGCTTTGAAACAGCTCAAGCGAGTAGATGTTGTCATCATCAGCGAAGTAAACAATCCCATCGAGCTTGTGCAACTCAATATGTTCCAATGCAGTGTTTCTCTGGTGAACCCCTCTGTCCTTGATACTCGTCATGTTCCTCTTGCAAACCAAGTGTCTGTACATAACTCCCGTCTTTCTCAGAATCTCTGAGGTCTCAAACGACGCCGCATTTCCCTCCACCACTATCCACAGCACAGGCGGCTCCACTAGCCTCAGCGTTTGAGCAATCCTGTTCAAGTAATACGCCTGCATCGCTCGATTGTAAGTTGGTGTGACAACAATTATGAGCTTCCTCGGCACAAAATTGAAATCCTCCTCCTTAATCATCATCTCCTTCTTCCCAAGCTCAGCCTCCGCCACGAAACTTACCCCATCTACTGCTACCTCTTCCCGTTTCCCGTTCTCAACCCTTTCTTCAACATTCGGCGGTTTGATCTCGAAGGAGAAACGATCGGTACCGTTAACATCTTCCATTTGCCCGTACGGTGTCATACCTAATAGAAACCCAAGAAGAAAGAAAGCGATGAATTGGAAAAACGGTCGTCGCCATCCACCTCTCCGCGAGCTTTTAGGGTCAGACGTCGTCGCTCCGGAAAGCTTGTTGAGATATGAGAGAATCTGCGAGGAATTGTGTTTACTGCTACCCTTGTGAGAAGGTGATGACATAGAAGATGGCGAGAATGGTGCACCGCCATTCTCGTACGGACGATCGTGATACACCGGCGAGAGAGTTCGCCGGATTGAAGCCATCAGATGAACAGAAAGAGAGATCAGCAACAGAAAAGCACCAAATTCGCAGGATTTCAAGCTCAAGCCGGAATCAGTAAGGTCGTGGGTTATACTTAAGCTCGCCGATTTGGATCCATCGCCGCCGAGATCTGAAAGAGGGCTTGGCTGGAGGGAAAAAGTTGCGGAAGAGAGAGAGAGAGAGAGAGAGAGTGAATTTCTCGGTTAAAAGTCTTGAAGCTACGCGGGTTCATGTACACGTGGCCAGATTATTACAGCTTGAACCCAGTAAAATGGATTTGACCATTAAAATTTCAAACGATGAGGAAACAGTGTAAAATATGTTAAATATACTAAATTAGAATACTAAAGTACAATGATTACAATATGATTTAGAGAATAGAGTATTTTTCCCTCTATGAATTGAGTTTTTTCTGTTCTCGAAAAAAAAAATTTAAGTTTTTCTGTTATGTTTGATTCTTTTCAGCGAAATTAACTTTTTTACAGCAGAAGAGTTAAGTAAAACAATTATTTTGTTTCCTCTCTATAAAAACCATGACTAAACTTTTCCCACCAAAATGATTTATCCATTTCAATAAAAAAATTTCCTCCTAATTATTCAGAGTTTTTTACAAGTCACACCCGAGGAATGGTGTACAACGGAAACGAATAAAACAAAAGTTGAAATAGATTACAGAGTTTTTTAAAAAAATGAAAATGTTTGACTTGAATAATTATGTTTTAGGTGAATAATGACAAACTAATTATAAATATCTCCAAAAATAGTCAAGTTCTACAATCATTTGCATGTGATGATAGTTTTGTTGTACTTATGGATAGTGAATGTATGTAGGTAAAGTTGGGTTAAATCTTTTGCAATCTGTCAAAATATTTTGTATACCTCAAGTTGTTTAACGTATTGAACATTAAAAAGTAATTGGTTTTGTAATACTGAATTAAGTGACGATCGACCTTTAACAATTCATGTTTTCTTGTTTAAATCAATTTGTAGAACATGACACACATGGATCTTTGCTGACCATGTTACTAGACCTTTGTCAGACATTGGCAACCGACAACCGTTGAAAGATTTTTGTAAACACTGCAAAACCGTGGATATTGATCTTAGCATATTTATATGCAAGGCTCCACAAACCTTGACGACTTGGCCTTGCAAATCAAAGATGTGGCATGGTCTACAATAGCATTAGTTATGTCAAGGACTTAAGATTTCAGTTCTATGTCACATAAGGAAGCATATATATTGTAAGTTGTATACCATGACATATCTTTGATATATTTTTGGCTGACGTTCGAAGATCTAGTCAAACAGCTTTGTTAAATCTTGACATGCGTATGATTTCCTCTCTGTCTTGTGTTATTTGTTTAAGTCTTACGCTTTAAATTTTACCGCCCTCGTTAGCTCTAAAGCGTAGGGTTATTTAATTTCAAGCTGCAAAGTTTTATTTTTATCTCCTTTTTCTTGTGTAAACTCATGACAAGTAAGCTTAGGAAATTTTCTCTTTATTGTATAATGTGTTTCCTTGTTTAAAATTTGGCAGCGTATGAGCAAATCTTAATTGACATTTTAAATATGCTTTAGTTTAAAATAGCATCCCGTATGGGTCCGAGCTATTTGAGGACTGAGCCTGTTATAGCGGATTCCAACTATTACAACCACCTAACCTCTCCCATTCAGACCTCTTGCTTTCCACTTTCCCTTTAATTCCACAATCTCTACTCTCTTTAATTTTATCTCTAATAAAAACAAACAGACAAAGGAAAGAAAAAAGGTGGAAGATGCAAGAGCTACCGGATTGCTTGTACGAGGGAAAGCAACCAACCTTAATCACTCCTAAATCTCCCACACCAAATCACTTTCTCTATCTTTCTAACCTCGACGACCATCATTTTCTCAGATTTTCTATCAAGTACCTCTACCTTTTCCAAAAATCTATCTCATCTTCAACCCTCAAAGATTCTCTCTCTAGGGTTCTTGTAGATTACTACCCTTTAGCCGGTCGGATCAAACCCTTCAATGACCGGACCAAACTGGAGGTTGACTGTAATGGGGAAGGCGCGGTTTTCGCAGAAGCTTTCATGGATATAACTTCTCAAGAGTTCCTTCAGCTTTCTCCTAGACCAAATAAGTCTTGGAGGAAGCTCTTGTTCAAGGTTCAAGCTTCGAGTTTCTTGGATGTTCCTCCTCTTGTTATACAGGTTCTTTTTATCCTTTTTTCTTCGTTTGTTTTTCATTTTTTGCTTTGCAACTTATTGTTTCAATATCAAAATCACGACTCAGATTACTTCCATATTAGTTGATATTTTGTAACAAAATAATTCGATTATTTTTTTTTTGAAGGGAATAAACATTAGACATAGCTCGAATAATATTGTAATGTCATAAAGTTAGTTGGATCGACTGTTCTGTTTAGATAGATATGTACTCACTTGGAGGAAACTAACATTGATTGGGTGTTTTTTCCTGACTCCTAAATTGATTCGGCCACTTTCTTTATCTTTTGAAATAAGAAATGCATACTTTTTTGTAGGTCGTGCATTATGCATATGATGTCGAAATAACATAAAGTTTTCTCCTACCACACTTCTTCTTAAAATACGTGAACTTTAATAAAGAGGTTAGATAGAAAAAAAGAAGAAGGACAAATAGAGAATAATCTTGTCTGTTCATGGTTCCATATTATTAATCTTTTCCTTTTCTTGTTTACAAGAAATTCAAAAAACTCTTTTTCTTGCCTTGAACTAGTTTATTACAAGTCTTTTTTGTTTAACTCATTCCACGACTATATATGAGTCATGATTATTTTTAGTTCATAAAATTAACAGTTAATTAATTATGGAAAACTTACGAAGTTGTTAATTAATGATGCATCAGGTGACTCATCTCCGTTGCGGTGGCATGATCCTATGCACAGCGATCAATCATTGCCTTTGTGACGGCATTGGCACATCGCAATTCCTACATGCATGGGCCCATGCCAACACCACCCAAACTCATCTTCCGATCCGACCGTTCCACTCCCGCCACGTGTTAGACCCACGAAATCCTCCACGTGTCACACACTCACACCCCGGTTTCACACGAACCACCACAACCACCGCAGACAAAAACTCATCCACCTTCGACATTTGCAAGCGATTACAGTCATCCCAGCCACTGGCTCCCGCCACGTTAACCTTCACACCATCTCTTATCCTACGCTTAAAGAAAACATGCGCTCCCTCGCTAAAATGCACAGCGTTCGAGGCACTCGCGGCTCACACGTGGTGCTCGTGGGCTCGATCTCTCGACCTGCCGTTGACCATGCTGGTCAAACTCTTGTTCTCTGTCAATATGAGGAAAAGGCTTATTCCACAACTTCCTCAAGGGTATTATGGTAACGGTTTCGTGCTAGCTTGCGCCGAAAGCAAAGTGCAAGACCTAGTCAATGGTAATATTTACCACGCGGTAAAATTGATACAAGAGGCGAAAGCGAGAATCACCGACGGTTATGTGAGATCAACAATAGATTTTCTGGAGGATAAAACGGTGAAAACGGACGTCTCATGCAGTTTGGTAATTTCACAATGGGCTAAATTGGGATTAGAGGAGGTGGACTTTGGAGGAGGAAAGCCAATGTATATGGGTCCTTTGACGAGTGATATTTACTGTTTATTTTTACCGGTCGTTGGAAACTTTGATTCCATTAGGGTTCAGGTGTCGCTGCCGGAGGATGTTGTGAAGAGGTTAGAGTGTGATATGGTTAAGTTTGTAGACGAAAAAGATTACGAAGAAGATAATTCTCTTGCGTGATAATGTTTTTTCTTTAATAATTTCACTGATCTATAGTCATGAGAGAATATTTGTTACCCTACCAACAAATATTCGGAATGTATTATATTTTCAAATTATCACCTACTTATATTATTCAAAAAAAAAAAAGTTTATCACCTACACCTACTTAGTTACTTAGCAACAATCGATTGTCTAATCCACTTGAAATATATTGAAAAAGGTGGCAACATTAGAACTAGTATTGTGTCATTGTATGGTCAAGTCTAATTGAAATTATATAAATTAATAAAGAACATCATATAATTATATTTCCACTAACAACATTGAATCATTCCATAATTTTCTATGTATATGATTTGATTAACAAGAATGTATGTATATATTCCATATTCTATATAGCCACATATAGAGCAAAATTCCAATGGATTTTAAATTAATGATTATAATTCGTTAGTAATTTGTAATAATCAGGGTTTATTTTTGTATCGTCCCTATCTAACTACAAACATAATTTTTAAAAGTACCAGAAAAAAAAAATTATGTCAAGTTTTATGAGAATATTTCTCAAGATCTAATTAACGGTGTGTACTAATTAGCCGAAACATTATATATTTTCGTGACATAAAACTTACAACGTAGAGTGAATGTTTAAGAAGATTTAACCAGTTACTTGTTTCAAAAACTATAAAAATAGAAAGAAATTGCACGAAAGCATATGAACAAATGTTAAAACAGAGGACACGAAGTGATGAATTTCGAATTGTGACACAACAAAGTCGAAGCCCATATTACTCTCTGTAGTTTTCATCGAAAAATTTGGCCCATTTTGCTTTAGAACGGTATTTTGGATCTTTATTAGGTATCAAATCGCTTCACCGCATAAGATATTTTCCGGAGTTTAGGAAAAAGAAACACGAAACAGCGAAATTTCAAGTTTCAAAGAGCTTTTTCCTCACCAAGCAAACCTGGGTTAGTGCAATCTCAATTCTAGCTATCCGATTTTCGTTTATTTTTGTTAAAATCGATTTCGTATTCCTTTGATCTCATCTCTTGAATCAATCGGCGAAAAAGCTTTCCCCTCTCACCACGTTTCGTAATTATTCGATCTGTTTCTAGATTTCGCTTTTTTTACTTGTGAAATATTTGTCTAAAAACATATTTTGATGATGATGCTTCGATACGAGTCATATTAATATGTGAAATTGGCTGCAGATTTGTGTCGTATTATGTTCCAAAGCTGTTTGACAATATAAATCTTGCTATTTGCAGATTTTCGTCAGCAAATCTGCAGCTAGATTCGCTCCGAGCATATAAGAGTTTGTCTTCTTAGTCAAAAGATTGAAACTTTCTGGTGAGCTGTTGCTGTTTCTGCGGAAGAAGATTTACAATGGGAGAGGAGCATCCGAGAAAGCGGTCTCGACAACATTTTGAAGCAGACGCGAGACACGTATCTTTGCTGGAATCCCCTCAATGCGAAACGTCAAAGTGGTATTTCAGCAGGGAAGAGATTGAGCGTTTCTCTCCATCTAGAAAGGATGGGATTGACCTCGTGAAGGAGTCATTTTTACGGTCTTCGTATTGCACCTTCCTTCAAAGACTTGGCATGAAGCTTCATGTGTAAGCTCACATTAGTATTCTTTGTTATCATGTTTTTTTTTTTCAGTTTTTGGGAAGTAGTGTTTGTTCTCTGGTTGTTTGCTTCATAGAAATATGCTTAATACTTCTTCTTTTCTTCTGATATGGTATTTCTTGGTACTTTTTTTAGCTAAAGAGGGTGCTAATGCATGACAATGGCTAGCCTAACTGTTGAATTTTGTCGTAGGGCCACTGTGGGAGGTGGTCTGGAGGTTCTCGTACTATAAATTCTCCATTTTGTCTACATATTTGTGTCATGAATGGAGACTTATGTAATAGTAGTCAAAATTTGGTGTCTATGCATCATATATTGGCTCACTTCTCATCGGCAATGGGAGGATTGCATCTGTCATGAATTTGCTTTGGAGCCTGTTCACCTGTTTATAACATGCCCTTCTGATATATGTCTGTGTATTTGTAATTCTCTGCTGGGTTATCAAAACCCTCAGCTGTTCCTACCATTACCAACTGATGTTCTTAGTTTTCTGAGCAAGTGCACGTCTCTCCCGGCCTACTATTTTTGAATCATCTATCATAGGTACTGTTGTTTTTCGTTCTTTGCATTAATCACGAGTGTCGGAAAAGCTTCATGTTATACTTCGGTGAAAGTTGTACCTTGCTTTTAGTTGCTGAAGACATTATAATATTGAAATTTTTGGTGATATGATATTTTGGGTGCTATTGAAGGTTTTTGACAATCTCATTGCTTCAGGTCCCAGGTTACAATAGGAAATGCAATGGTGATGTGCCACCGGTTTTACATGCGCCAGTCTCATGCCAAAAATGACTGGCAGGTAAAAATACTTTAGTATTCATATGGCTCATCAACTGCATTCATCAATCTGTAATGAATCAATCTGTAATGAAGATATTGATACTTCAAACAGGGTATACATGTTGATGAAAACTATTAAAAAGCGGTTATTTTAAAGTTATTCAGTCTCTCCTAATCAATTAGAAGTTTATCTGATTTATACTGAAAATTTTCCTCGTCCACTTGGTGGTTTGCAGACGATAGCAACTGCCAGTCTTTTCCTCGCTTGCAAAGCTGAAGATGAGCCGTGTCAACTTTCCAGCGTTGTTGTAGCGTCTTATGAAATTATTTATGAGTGGGATCCTTCTGCCTCAATTAGAATCCATCAAACCGTAAGTATTAATAAATCTATCTATTGGTGAATTCGTACTGTGCACTGTGCTAATTTATTACTTGTTACTCTGTCTTTAGGAATATTACCATGAATTTAAAGAATTTATTTTGGCCGGGGAGAGGCTTCTGCTGGACACAAGTGCTTTCCATCATTTAGACATTGAACTTCCCTACAAACCTCTGGCTGCGGCATTGAATAGGCTGAACGCTTGGCCTGACCTTGCAACAGCTGCATGGAATTTGGTTCATGATTGGTAAAGACCCTTGTTAATAGTAGTATCTGTGCTTTTGTCCCCACGTCGAGTTTGAATAATCTTATATTGCATTGTGTGTAGGCTTCGAACAACACTATGCTTGCAGTACAAACCCCATGTTATTGCAACTGCCACTGTGCACTTAGCTGCCACGTTTCAGAATGCAAAATTAGGCAGCAGGAGAGATTGGTGGTTGGAGTTTGGTGTAACAACCAAGTTATTAAAAGGTTTGTCGTTCAAACCCTTTCTTTATTATTCTCTGTTATTACTACCAATCGTTTGATCAGTCTCATAGTTAGATAGCTCCAATTCAAGAGGCATGTTAGGTTCTTACTTACCATATGCAATATTGAGTTTGAATGAACAACGCATGCTGCTGCAATGATTTTAGCGGTTCATTAAAATAACGGGGTGTTTCTCATCAATGGTGACAGAGGTGATCCAGGAAATGTGCATACTGATAGAAGTGGATCGTAGGAGGACTATGCCACCTCCAAGAAGAGAGGTAGCTTGGGCAATACCTGCCCCCATAAAGCCGGTCCATATGGCTAGAGGCTATCCGTTTCACAGCTACCCTTTGCTGCCCTATAGACAGCCTGGCATTTGGTGAGCCATTGTTTTGCAGCCTGAAGATGTAATCTCTCGTGTAGTCTGAGTTTGGTCTATAAACAAAAGAAGATTCTGATGAGTCTCATGAGAGAGGGAGGCAATGGAAGGTTATATAGCAATCCGGGTGAGGTGTTTGTTGGCTAAGTTAAGCCTCTCAGGTATGACCGTATGACCATCTTCACCAAAGGATTCTCCCAAGATTCTTCTTCTTTGTTCTGTTACATAGAGATTATGTAGAATTGTTGGTTATACAAGTGTCCAATTACTTATTATAATATAAGCAGACTTCATATCATTGTATATCTGGAATCTATGTTTTGGGTTTCTTCATATTGTTTTTGACTTCTTTTCTCATCGCTAAGTAGTTTGGTTTGATGAGGTATTGTATCTTGTATGTATCAATCGTGGATCGTCTAATGCAGTTATGTATGGAGCCTTTGGTCCTTAGTCATGCTTTCTCCTCACTATACAGAAAATCATTTTCCAAGTTGAGTTAAAAAAGAAAAAGTGTATTTTGGTGATATATGTTAAGAATGAACTATCAAACCATTACAATTATGCCTAAACACAGAGCATTTAAATGGTAACATAAAAACTGGAAAGTCTTAAGTAGAAAATAATAAATGCTTTGGTTGATGCAATGAAGACGTCCATGCAAACTCACAGAAGTTGGCCATGGTTGTTCCGCAATCGTCTGCAAAAAGTTTGCAAGCAAATGTGAATTGTGATTGTATGTGTTCGAATTATTTCATGAAAAATGTTCCATATTTTCATTCTTTCTTGGCCCGACCTTGGTGTTGGTTTGTTGTGCACGGTTGTGTGAAGAACTTTTGTTTTTTTCCTAACACCAAAACAAAATTTAATTAAAAGATTTCCATATAGAGTAAGTTAAAAGAGTCAGAGTAATTGGATGCAAAGGGAAATGGTGGAAAACAAAAATTTAATCCAGATATTTAAACTTGTTTTTTTTTGGTGCGAAACGTCTCTATATAAGATTATGCTAGGAAAAATCACTTCATTTGAATGGTGGTTATTTTAAAATATAATTTTGGTTATAAATATTAGTTTATCGTATTAATAAATCAAAACGAAAAGAGAGAATCCAATTGAAGTTTCGGATTGATTTAACCAATCAGCGAACGCAAGTCCGCTAAAAAAATCTTTAACAAGGAAGTTGAAAACCATTATAAATTTGACTAGCGTCTTCCTTCCCAGTCTCCAATTTCACTCTCACAAAGCCCGAGAAATCGTCGAAATCCTCTGTTCGCCGGCGATTCGTCGAGACGGGATACTTCTCCGCTTCTTCCGCCTGACCTCTCTCTTGTGGCGTCGTTCGTCGCGCTCTCTTGCTCTCCGTTTATCCGGCTGATCGGTGCTTCGCGTTGTCACTGAAGAATTTCTAGGTTCGATTTCTCGCTTCTCGCTACGATCGTTTGTTTTCTTTATCCGGTATCACATACATTTGCTAATCGATGATTGTTGGAAAGAGTTGGGAGTTTTTGTTTTCTTGGAAATTTGATGCAGCATTTCGAAAATTTCACTGCGATTGTTCGGTTTCTGTATATGAAGTTGAGTTCGTTCGAATTACGATCATGGTCTTGGTTGCGTAAAGCGATGCATATTGATCGTCTTTGCATGGATTAGGCAAATGACTAGTTCATCGGAAAAGATATTTCCTCTGAGTGCGAAAGATTACGAGCTTTTTGAGGAGATCCGCGATGGTGTTTACAGAGCTCGATGCATTCTACTTGATGAGATTGTGGCCGTCAAGATCTTGGATCGTGAAAATTGCAGGAGCGATGTGGTTGGTTATCTTCCTCTTTTCTTCTTCTTCTTCTTCTTGTTATACTTTCGGAAATGATATTTGTCTTTCTAATAGAGAAGATTCGAAATGCATCTTTATTAACGTAATTAGAGTTTGTCAAATCCAGGAAACCATAAGCAAAGAAGTTCACACAATGAGCTTAACTGATCATCGGAATCTCTTGAGGCCGCATTGCTATTTCTTTGATGGTAACAGCTTCTGGATTGTGATGCCTTACCTTCAAGATGTTCAGGTACTTTGATCACAATTTACATTTCTCAATTTGTTTTTCCATTATATTTTGATAGCACAATGTATATGCTTCTTTCTAGGCTGGGAACATTTTGGCTGACTCAAACGAAACAGTTTCGCTCGGAGACTTTGCACTGTCAGCAAGCCAGTTACTGGCGGCTCTTAGGTACTTTGTTTGGTTGCACATACTCGTGACAAAGAATTCAAAGTTCACTGCTTGATTTCTCTTGTTCTTGTTTTTTTGGTTACAAATTTGGCATAACTCTTTGAGCAGAGAGCAAATCGGCATCCCTTCTGGTGCAGAGAGTTCTATTGGTGAAGAGGAGACCCTTGAACGAAATTTGGCTTCAGATAACTCGGTAATCTAGATTAGATGAAAGATAATTTTGTATGGTCCTTCAACTTCTGATCCTTATTGAAATCCCTCTGAAGTTGGATAGAGCTATTTTCTTCAGGATAAACTGATAAACTACGAAGCGCTGACCGCTTGGATACAGAATCCTTTATCTAGTAATGCTGCTCAAATCCTCCCATCGTTACAGAATCTCCTGCACGAAAATCAAATGCAAAGGGTGAATTGCCATTTCAAACGCTTCCTGTTGATATATCAACACATAAATGTCCTTTGAATATTCATATTCTGGTAGTTTCACACATTCTTATTTGTTTGGCAGGAAAGATTAATCGGATTAAACCAGCTCTATGATCCGACTGCTGGTAAGTGTTCTGTTCTGTAAGCAGATTTTTGCATCTTCTCTGTTTTACCAGTTTCACTGATTATTGATCTTTATTTTGTACAGTCAACAGAAATCCAATGGTGAATAGGGAAGGCGTGCAGGTTGGGATTGCTTCTCACTTTTGCTAATGACATATGCATAGAGAGGAAGTTGTTTGAGGACAGAAATAAGAGCCTTAAGTTCTGAATTCACAGATATCAGCGGAGACAGATCTATCTTCTGAGGTTCACTTCTTGGAGCAGAGGTAATGAGATCACTCTCCAGAAGCTTAATTAGACAATTACATAAATCTTTGAAAGGACAAAAATACTGCAATTGTCGACATTGAAACATGGGAAATTTTTTATTTATACTCCAACGAGTCAACAATTATCCATCTTCCAAATAGTTTTTTGTTTGTTTTTTTCTGGTTATTTTCATAAGTAAAACTAATGATTGATTGTTTTAATGGTTTTTAAATTGCTATAGGGTGAAAGAGCTTGAAGAGGAAGTTGAGAATCTGAAAAAAGCAAACGCTCAGGTATGTGACATGTAAAGATATCCACAGTCACATAACATCCCTCTTCTATTGTATCATCATCGCCATTTATGGTAGTTTCCTAACCTTGTTGCAGCTAGAAGATCAGATCAACCGCTTGACGAATGACGAAGAGCAGTGATCCACAAAAGCACGATTGACTTTGCGCTCCGTTATGAAGGAGGCACCACTCTAAGTCTCTAACCTCTGTTTGCATTCTTTTTACTTTAGGAAAAAAAACCTGGATAGATAAACCCCTTGATGGGTCCATTCTTTGAGTTAGTTAGATAACCAAAAGAAAATTTCTTTACAAGTTTCTTAAAAGTCATATTAAAAAGATCCCCTGTTTGTATAAAAATACAGTACCGCTCATTTTACTGCAAAAAGAAATGACTTTTGAATCTTTTATTTTTGCTTGAAGTTGTCTACGGATATGATAAAGATTATGATTTATTAGTCATTTAGGTTTTGTTAGACAGTTAAAACCTAAAACAAACAGATAATACCTTCGATCTCCTCTTGTCTTCATGTAACTCAAGAACTCGCTACATAAATCATACGTACACTTTTCTCTTGGCAAGAGTAGAAATCACCAAACAAAATCTCCATACTTTAATATTCAGCCTTTTTTATATGAATTCGTAGAATATATAAACATTCCTAGAAAAAAAATCTTATATTTTTGGTTTTTGGAGGTGACATGTGAACATAGGATTGACAAATTGCCTGATGGAGTTTAAATTCCAGCTGATGAAGACTAGGAATAGACGAGGATTGCCTCCTGATAATTTGATATATTTATCATGAATACTACTAATAGGTAAGTTTTAACTTCCAATGTCACAATAACTTATGTATTTTTGGTTTGGAACTTTGGATTTCTAAACTTTTTTTAATTAATTTACAAATCGCGTAAACCGGTCAATTACGTTTATAATCAAAACCACATTGTTCGCCTATTAGCTATTGCGCGTTGAACATTTTAGACAAAACCCGATTCTGGTTTCCATTTTCATTTTTTTTTTAAAATCTAATAAATATACATATCAGAAATTAGTCTCTCTCCTCTCTCTCTCTCTCTCTCTCTCTCTCCCCAACTCGCGAACAAAGCAAACCCTAGATCATCAATCCGACGGAGACGGCAGCTCCTCGTCGGCAATATCTTCAACCGGCGGCGGCTACTCTCTCACAGATCTCTCAGTCTCATCCATCTCTGTAACATTTTGTACGCCTTCTCCCTCTATCTTCGATTTGGTGATCTAATACGGCTCTATCTCTACGCTCGTCTCTCTGGTTCTCAGCACTATTTTAGAGCGCTGCTTCGTCTCTTTCTTAGTTTTTCCTTTGATTGCGCTTCTCTATTCAGTTTACGACGACTCGCCTGTTTCACGTATCTGATTGTTTGGTTTGTGTGGTTCGTGGTTCTTGTCTCTCTTGTTTCCACTGAATTCAATAGCCGACTAAGATCTATGGGAGTCACCTTCAATAGTTCTTCAATCCCTTCGCTTTCATAACGTTGTCTATACCCTTGTAGAGAAATCTATGGCTTTACAATTAGTGAACTTTCGGATTGATACTAATCTTTTCAAACATCAAATGTTCAATCTCTGTTTTGTGGAGCCTTACATATTCTTTCGTGCTGGTTGATAAACATTTTGCTCAATTACTTTGTGTTGTCCCGTTGGTTTTGCAAATCAGGGTGGGAATCCTGCCATGGCGGAGCATTTGGCTTCAATTTTTGGTACGGAGAAGGACAGAGTGAACTGCCCATTCTACTTCAAGATTGGCGCTTGCCGTCACGGTGACCGGTGCTCTCGTCTCCACAACCGTCCCACCATCTCCCCAACACTCCTCCTCTCCAACATGTACCAAAGGCCTGACATGATAACCCCTGGTGTCGATGCTCAGGGCCAACCTCTCGACCCGCGCAAGATCCAAGAGCATTTTGAGGATTTCTTCGAGGATCTCTTTGAGGAGCTGGGAAAGTTTGGAGAGATAGAAAGCCTCAACATTTGTGACAACCTTGCTGACCACATGATTGGCAATGTATATGTTCAGTTCAAGGAAGAGGATCAGGCTGCAGCTGCTTTGCAGGCTCTGCAAGGTAGGTTCTATTCGGGACGTCCCATCATTGCGGATTTCTCTCCTGTTACGGATTTCCGCGAAGCTACGTGTCGGCAGTATGAAGAAAATAACTGTAACCGTGGTGGGTACTGTAATTTCATGCACGTGAAGCTTGTTTCGAGGGAGCTGAGGAGAAAACTCTTTGGGAGGTATCGGAGGTCATACCGCAGGGGAAGCAGGAGCAGGAGCAGGAGTATAAGCCCCAGGCACAAGAGAGAGCACGACAGGCGTGATCCTTCTCACAGGGAGTTCAGTCACCGGGACAGAGATCGTGAGTTTTACCGTCATGGAAGTGGGAAAAGGAGCAGTGAGAGGTCGGAGAGAGGAGACAGGGAAGGTTCAAGAGGAGACAGGGAAGGTTCAAGAGGAGACAGGGAAGGTTCAAGGAGGAGACATGGGTCCAGCCCTAAACGAGGAGGGAGCCCTGGTGGTGGGAGAGAAGGAAGCGAGGAGAGGAGGGCAAGGATTGAGCAATGGAACAGAGAACGGGAGGAGAAAGAAGCGGGAGGAGCATAAAAAAAAAGGTTGTTTACGAAAATCATGACTGCTTGCAATGTGGCTTCTCGGCGTTTTGCTGATTTGTTTCCGGAAAAAGGATTTTATCATTTGGTGGTTCTAATTTGGGAACTTGAAAATGAGTGGAATCAACTGCTTTAGATTACAAAATGTTGGGGTTACTTTCTTGTAGTTTTTGATTAGGATAAAAACGTTGTTGCGCCTCGACCCCTTGTTATTCATTCTCACCATCACCAGTCACCAGTGTTCCTTAGAACTTTGTACTATCTTCTGTTGGTTTAAAAAGAGTTTAGTTTCCTTTTAAAAGTGTCGTTGGTTCTTCAACTCTTCAATGATTGTGGAGATACGTTACGAGTATGTGTTATGGTGGTACTCTCGTCTTCGGTTGTGATACCAATTCAGGTCAAAGCACCTCGAATCCCAATGAAACACTGGGCCTCTCATTTACATTGAATAAACAGTATATGACATAACTCATCCTATTAATCAGCAGTGTTCCTTTCACGCCCCATAGTGTGGAACATAAATGAGTAAATTATTACCTTAGTAACTCCCGGTACACAAAATAACTTACTCCTTCCTTTCTCTCTGTCTATCGTGAAGCGTCACTGTGGAGTATTCTCATGCTTGTTAGTTATTACCTTTCTGCTTAGAACCTAAACAAAACTTGAGAAACATGTTTAGTCAGCTATTACTGACAACAATATTTTCTCGACATATTTTTCGCCGCATGTTGGCATGTTTGATTTCTTTGTACCTCATCAAATGGTTTATAAATTTGCGACAAATTTGCTACTATGAATCTTTCGAAATTTCCTTGGTTAGAAGGAAATATATAAGTTTATATATTCAAGAACGACTATATAATTACAAATAAAATACTCGTACAGATTTATCATATTCTTTTGTACGTCTAAAATTCACAAAATATCTACTCAATTCAACAGTTATGGTTCATTAATTCATTCACTTAAATATCGCTACCGCCTACCGCCACCATCACCTCCGATGCGGTCTGCCCGTCCGACCTACCAGCAGCCTGATCTCTCCGCCCTCATTGGTGTCATTCACTTTACTTTTTATGTACCAAACAAAAAACATTGTCTTTGTTTATTCTGACTTTTCATTGACTGGAACACATAACATATTGTCTACTGAATTTGATCACATGGATGGATAACCAAATTATTATGTAGATTAGTAGACATATAGATTGACCACGTGCAGAAAGTCTCTGCCGTCTTCGTTAGGTTAGAATATATATATTAGTGATAAACCCATACGATGCTTTTATTAACTTTTCAAGACTTTTCTTACATATCATATACAGAAGTACTTTATCATTTGCCCGTTTCATCCGCTCGTCCTATTGATAATCAAATAAGCGGTTGAATCTCAAACGAGGTTATTAATCAAAGCCATTTAGCGATTAGACAAAAGAAAGAAAGAAAAAAAGGCATTCATTCTTTGATCAACAACAAATAAAAGAAAAGGCATTTTCATAAGACGAGACGCTTTATTTTTGGTTAGAAAACCCAAAAAATAAAAGAAAAAAGAAATAAAAGATGGACAGTCGGACAACGTTATAAAGTCCCATTCCAGAATACAACACATGCGCGTGTATGGTTGCATTTCGGTATCTATGAAATTGAAAAGTAGAATTATAATGAAACTGAAAATTAAATACTCCATATGATATTTATAGTTGTAAAGAAATTTAGGAAAATATAAAGATGATGAAGAGAAGGGATAGCATGGGAAAGTCTGTTAGACTGTGATGCCCTAAATTTGAGAAAGCATATATTCCCCTGCTCTAAAGCCTTTTGTCTTCTTCTTCGACAACTTTGTGATAAATAAAAAATGCTTTACCCTCCTTTTTAAGGACCCTTCTTTTAAGGCCTTTGTTCTATGCTTTTTCTATTTGACCCCCAAAGAAAAGGTTATCTTTTTTTTTTCTAACATAATAATTCATATGATTGACCAACTACGACCATCTTTAATTTCCTTTGAATCTATTTAATCATGAACTATCATCACTGCTTAATTAGCCTTGTATTACGTGCCATTTATATAGATATACCTCCATTACGTTGTGTTAGCATTTGTCATGTTTTTAACATTTTAATTTGAAACCTATCATCATAGAAAAATGCAATTTTGTGTTTTCTGAGTTGTAAAGAACAAAATACATCGCACGACGAAGATTGTAAAGTTATATGGTAAAACTTCGAAATCTTAAACATCCAGAAAGAGTGTATATCAAATCAACGGCCTCAAGGTATTGAGAAACATGGCACCTAAATGGTCTAGACTTTCTTTATAAAATTAATCAAGTAAAAGTATTCTAACTAATTTTGGTATAGAAACTTGATATCTGCACACGAATTGTTTTGTGCCAACCAGTAATAGTAACTGAAAATGTCAATAATGAATCACATTTCTTGAAGAGATTAATGTAATTAATAGGTATAACCAATTAAAATCACTTTAGCAAATATATCTGTCGTATCAATATCTTTGTATAGAAAAAAAAACTGTCTTTGTATATCTATCAAGAGATGTTCAAACATATTGATAGGCAAGATATTAATAATAATCTCTAAATAATCAAAACCCATGCAATTTTTGACTTTCTAATTACTAACTAAGTTCTGAACTAGTACATAAGAGTTATTCATACACTATGTACACATGACTTCACTAGAGAAAGCATATAAATGTTGTATTCTCACATGATGTTCTCCTATGAATTAAACGTTGAAATATAGGAAAATATATGGTTAATGAAAAATGAATAATTAGTAACATTTGTAAATATTAATATTAGTATACAAACTGTGAGACCCATTTATGACAAGGATCTTTACGGAGTGTTGACCAATTAATATGGCTAATAAAGAAACAGTAAAGTGATGTGTTATGATGCGATGATGGATCCCTGATTGATAATTGATGTAAAACAAATATAGCTCCTACATCATAATACTATACTTTTGATATTAATACATATATTTCTAGCAAAACTTTTAAAAAGGTACACAATTTAATAGATTAACACAAGCTAGCTTTTCAAAATCGAAGGTCAAGTTGGATAATATATGGATGGAGCCCATCATTTCTTAATCTTCTGGTACATATGGTGCATGTATCCAAGTGAATGCTATTTTTAGACTCTTTCTGGTGGAATTGTTCATACATATGTATGTACATGTATAGCTTTATGTATTCATAAATAGGAATATTAGCTATAGCTAGTGATCAAATGAATATTTTTAAAATATGTCATCTGTATTCTAGAGCCTCTAGATGTTAGTATCAGTCTATCTATCGAGTTATCTTCTATATTCAAATTTGATAGAATATGTATATAAGTCGTCAAAAAAAACATGTTAGTTTATATAATTATTATTGCGCAAAAAAGCTCATTAGTGGTATGTTATTTGAGCGGCAAATCTTCTCGAAGGTACAAGTACACACTTAGAAGCCTACTAACACCGTTGTGCTGTTTTCTAATAATTCTTCGACAGTTAGTTTTTCATACCACATGGCTTAATCATAAATTGGAAAGAAAAAAAAATCGGAGCAAATAAAAGAAAACATGAGGTTTGCTTTGCACCAGATCGGAAATAAATTATTCATGATGCAATATGATTTATGAACATTATTCTGGTGGCTGAAAGCAAATTGCAAGTGTTTACAAGGGAATATAATCGGCGTTTTTCATAAGAATTCTATGTTCCCTTGTTGTGGAAAAAATGTGAGATTTTATAGCAAGTAGCTAGTTCAGAGTCGGAAGTAGCTAGTTCCATTGGTTCTTTTTTCTTTTTTTTTTTAGTTGCATTGGTTCGATTCAACTTATCTGGTAGATATACAAATTTCTCGTTCCTTATTCGCCGTAGAGGTCGGGTTGTGCATCTGGAGACGGCGACACATGTTGATCCTGTTGTGCATTTGAAAACTTCCATGTAACACTCTCTTCTTTCTAACGTCAAGCTGTTCTTGTGTAATTTTAAGTATTGATTTCATCTGTGTAAAATCCCAACTTTTATAAAGGTCCAGGATGGATATTTATTACATAAGTAATTATTGTCTTATTACTTAAGTAAGACTTTAGTTTTCAAAAAATTAAAAACATGGATGAATTTTCAAATTATAGAAGTTTTTTAGCTTATCAAACCAACTCTCTCTATTTGAATTACATCTTTAATGAAAACAAAACTACATCTAAAGCTTTACCTGTTTTTGATAAGCAATGTAAAAATTCTTAGTTAAAGTCTTTAAAAGGTTTGAACATATGATATTAAAAACATGAGTATTTCTGAAGTCGCTTTGAAAAAGTAGAGTTGAGTTTATAACCTAAATTTCTATAATCTGCAAATTAAATCGTCTCAGTTAGTATTTCAGGCTCGACCATAATGACTCCAAGGACCATCATATACAAATAGACATCACAATAACTTTTTGTTGACGCAAGTAGATATTGGAATAGCTTAATTGCTTAAGCATTAGAAAAGAAAGACAAAAAAAAAAACTTGTGAGCGTGCAAGTAAATATAAACTAAAGAGAATCAAAGAAACACAAAAAAGTGAAAACAAAGTTTTCCCATACTCGTTCTGATCTCATCACATTCTCCAACGTCCCTTTCTTCTGATGCGAGTCTTGCTGCTCTCTTTTTCATCTGTTTTATCTAGTTTTTCATTTTATTTCATATAATGGAATTAATAAAGTGAACTAATAAACTAACTGATTGATCGATTAAATTAGTTGTTTCCCACACGATGAATTAGTTAATTAATTAAACATTCCTTTTTAGATGCGATCGAATTGGTGACAGCTTTATCAATAGTACAATACTCATATTCTTAACTTATTGGACTTTTGAGTCACTATATAATACATAATTTATTTGTACAAAGAGCTGTTATTGTTAGTATTTGGATCCTGAATCTGATCTTCATTAATAGGATAAAAGGAAAAAAAAACGATTTATAGTGTTTTATTTTCAACGTGAGAGTTACGTTTATTTTACTTTGAGAGTGTTTACAAGTTTTTCTACATTTTATGTTATCTCGCTCACTTATAATGAGACAACAGGGACAGTGATTTCAATATAGAAGAACATAAACTCTAGATAAATAAAGAATATCTTAACGAGCTTCTTTAATAAATACATGTTGCACATTCATCGATCGGGTCACATAGCGGATCCAAGCTTCAACAAACCTCTCTTTTGAAAACATTTAATTCGACAAAAAAAAGGCCAATCTATACACATCATCTTTTCAATCCAATTACAGCCAGTTACTTTGCATGACATCATTCTTGTAACAGCTTGTAAAAATTCGCGGCCTCTTCTAGACTTCTACGCTAATAATAATCGAAAATCACTTTGCCAAATCATCATCTCGTGCATAAATGTCTCGGCCATAAATGGTAATGACTATTGATAGTAAGTTCTTAATATGTACATGCCGATTATATTAAATTTTCAAAACTATATATGTTCCATTCAGAATTCAGATTGGCAAAGCTCCTCCCTATTCTCTTACTCGCATATATGTATATAGAGTTAGTTTCTCTTTTGAGAAGGTGGGGCCACTCACAACATCATAACATGGCCCATTTTCGTTTGGAACCAATCATAACAAAACACATTGCACGTACGACACAGTTCATAGAACTACAATGTTGCAATTTAATCGGTTGTAAACATTTATTTGAGTTTTTTTTTTTTGTATTGAGTCAATGTTTTGAGAGTCTTTTAGTTATATATCGGGTCTTTACAAATTTTAGGTTGTTGTGAAGGAAAGCAAATTATTTGGATTGGAGAAGGACAATTGGAAATGCATGATCGAACATAAGCATTATAAATTTGACATTCTTTGAAAGGCATCAAACTGAACTTTGAATACAAGAAGTTAGCCACTTGAGACAGCTTTTTGTTTGAATTTTGAAGCATTTTGGACCAACCGCTGAAATTTTTTTGCCAATTCGGATGAAGAAAGGTCAATCTGACGAAACAAATGAACAATAGACGAATAGACATAAAATGTTTCTCAAAAGACCAGTCCGATCGATCTAGAAGTAGGAATGGCGACTTCTGATATTTGTAACACCATAAGGCCCGTGTATAGTGACGGTGCCAGAAATTTTTTTGATTGGGGCAAATAGGAATATATATGATCTTAGAAATGAGGAATTGATATTAAACTTTAATAAATTACACCAATTTTTTAAAATCATTGGAGACGAATGATCCTATCTCACAATATGTGGCTCTGCCACTGCGTGTGTGGTCATATATTCCGTCCGTCCGTCGACTTCTCGACCTTCGTAATGTTTCACTCGGTGCTCCGGTTGAAACATTATGACGAGATTTACTGAACTTTTGGAGGACTTGACGTCATCATGACAGTGAGTGATGACTGATTTTATGTTATGTAAGTCCTTTGTAAATTTAATTTGGGTTTTTGTTTTTTTTTTCGTACTTGAGCACCTTAGTGGTGGTTCCTGCTACTACAATTAATTATTCCACTTGAAAATAAAAATAAAAAGTAAAAAAGCCTTGGAGATCATCATTTCCATCTCTGGTAGCACAAACTGAGTTTCGTTGTTGCCTACTTGCCTTGTTGGCTTTATAACTGAGTTGCAACCAGAATACACAAACTTTGTTACTAAATTACAGTATATGATTATATTTTAAGTTTTGCGGCCAATTTTCAATTATCAACAAGTTTAATCTATATGCCGTACGTGTCTTTATTTGGTCGAACTTTTTAGTCACAAATCATATCACTACAAATAAACAAAAAATGCAAAAGGAAAGAGAATATCAGCAATGGATTTTTTATTTATTATCGCTAATTAACGATGGAATTGCAAAAGAGTTGCATTAAAATGTAAATACGTTTCTAAATCTTTGTTAATTAGCATCAACATCAACAGTCGATAAATCGTTTCTATTTTGCTTTTGGCATTTTTTTACGAAAATCAACAAATCCAAAAAACTATAATTTTTTCGATGTTCTAAAATGTCCAATCCAAATTACAACTACATCCCCGTGCTTCCCCTCCCTAAACCATTATTACATCTAGTCTTGGCTTTACTGAGGTTGGAATAACGAAATTGGATTTATGGATACGTATTTGCATTTAACGCATGTGAAATGCACAATGTTAAGTTAGAACTCTAACTTAAATTAAAGAGTGGGTTTGGGCTCAACATAACTTGATCCACATGATTTCCGTTATCTTAAGTACATATACACATGTACTCATCCCAAACATAAAACTAATTCTATTACAAACGCAATGTGCTTATCGATCACAATACATATATTATATATACAAAGTATATTTATATATATTCCTTTAACACATACGCATGTTACTGATAACAAACATGAATTTAAATTACAAAAAGCAATATGTATACACATACGTACGTTATATATGCATGTACAATATACATATAACTTTTCGTAATTTAAATTCATGTTTACTGATGTATAAGGAGAGAGAGATAAATAAGGAAATTAAAGGGTGATATTGAGAGTAGACAGAGATGGATGGATGTCATCATTTCTCGTCTGAGACAACTGTTGCAAAGCCTTGGGATCGAAGGCAGGAGCTTGGGACACTAATCATGGCTTTCAGGAACTATAATCATCTCCCTCTAATTGCAGAGAGAGAAAGAGCCAAAAAGCTACAATAGATTAATTATACAATATTATATATATATATATATATATATCTATTTATTTATTTGCATATACCGTAAAATAAAAAAGTAGGTCATATACTCTAGAAAGAGAGTCCATGAGTGAGAGAATATCACATACATATACACATCTATATATACATATATGTTATTAATATAATTTTTTGTTCTTGTATTATTGAATGATTCTTCCCCTCCTTTCTTTTGAAGGTTTTATTGCTTTTCAGAATATAGGTACTTCAAATAGAAGAGAGAGAGAGCGAGAGCGAGAGAGAGAGAGAGAAAATATGTGTCAAGCTCCAAAAAAGCTAAGGTAATGTTATGTGATGTGCTTTTGAAAGGAATAGAGAGCTTCAAGAGGGCACACATATACAGCAACAATTTTAATTAATTACTTCATCTTATTATAAATACCTTGGGATTTTCAAGAGAAACTCTTCAAAAAATCATCTTTTCTTTTTCATCTTTAATTCTTTTCACACAAACATATATATAGATATCCCCAGATACAGAAAACAGGTATATTAAGTATATATAACATCATACATATGGACTCTGCTAATATGCATCAGCTTCGTCAAGATCAGTTACAACTTGTGGGGTCTTCTTCTTCTTCTTCCTCCTTAGATAATAATTCTGACCCTTCTTGCTATGTAGCTTCCTCTGCCCATCAATGGAACCCAGGAGGTATTTCATTGTAAGTCACACTCTCTGTCCTCTAGCATCATATGTATATATATTGTTTCGCACATAGTGATCATATATATCTATTTAACACGTGTATCTCCAGTTATTTTGGTGTTTTGAATATTCCTGGTATCAATATGTCATGAAGAATTTGGAATCTTTTTTTTTCTTCTTTTCTTGTTTGAGAAAGATAAGTTAGTGAGGAAGAAAACAAGATAGAATTTAAGTGGCTGATAAAATAATAATTTTCTATTATTCATCCACTTTATAAAACAAACAATTATATATATATAGATAGATATGTCTAGTATCTAGTACTCATATATGGTACTCTGAATTTTACATTGATGCAAAATGAAGAAAAAAATCTGTGTGGTTTTGTGGCAGGAATAGTGAGAGATTGAGTCAAAAATATAACATTGAGATGTTAAACAGAAGAGATCATAACAACAGCAACAACAACAACACAAGTGAATGTATGAGTCTCTCTAACATCCACAATCACTCCTTGATCCAACAACAAGACTTTCCTTTACAATGGCCTCATGACCAATCTTCTTATCATCATCATGAAGGGCTTCACAAGATCAAAGAAGAGCTTTCCTCATCAACTACCTCAGACCATCAAGAAGGCTTGCCTAAGTTCACAGACATGTTAAACAGTCCAGTGATCACAAACTATTTGAAAATCAATGAACACAAGGACTACACAGAAAAGCTTCTTCTCAATACTATATCTTCTGGGTTCCCCATCAATGGAGATTATACCAGCAGCCTCCCCTCTTCGTCTTCCTCATCTTCTTCTTCTTTGCCTGCGTCTCAGTCTCATAGAGGCAGTTTCAGTCAGATTTACCCAAGCGTGAACATATCGAGCTTGAGCGAGTCACGGGGGATGAGCATGGACATGAGCAACATCCCAAGACCATTTGATATGAACATGCAAGTTTTAGATGGAAGGTTGCTTGAAGGGAATGTCTTAGTTCCTCCTTTAAATTCTCAAGAGATTAGTAATTTTGGGATGAGTAGAGGAAGCTTTTCTCCTTTTGGCCTCCCTTTTCATCATCATCTGCAGCAAACACTTCACCACCCTTCTTCTTCCCCTACTCATCAAGTGAGTTTATTTTATTTAAATCATTACTTTCTATTTCATTCATCTTTTTGCTTTTTTATTTTATAAATGTGAATCATGGCTTCGAAGGATTAGTACGACGGTGAATCTCGTGAAGTTAGTGCATCTGAAAGCATTACGTTTAGGGCTCTATATCTACCATAATATATATATATATATATATATATATATATATATATACATAAAATCTTGGGTTCGCCCTCATTTCTGAATTATGAATGTAGTAAATTATTAATTAGTATTATACTACGGCATGGTAACCTTTCAGCTTTATTCACATAATTTTATGTCAGTCATAAAAGAGTGTCTAAAAGCTTAGCTAGGCTTCTGTATATGTATTCATTTTTGTTTATGCATCAACGTAATAACTTTCATTATTATTCGCAGAACCTTTTATTCAACACTTCAAATAATGAAAGATATGAATAGGTTTTATAAACCTTATGTTAAACTTTTAACATGAAGTTTGGCTGGCTAGATTAATCAGATTAGTGTAACGTGCGAGACCTTTGTACCATATTGGAGCTTTGTAATAAAGCTTTGAAAGAAAAAAAAATATTGAATAATATATACACACGTAAGAAAAATAGAATAGTAATATATATATATATAGAATAGTAATATATATATATATATATACGTAAAAACTTTTCATCTTCTTTTGATTCATCTTTTTCTTTGATGTTGTGGTTCTTGATTGGAGGGCCAAAGCTTGAGCTATAAAACCTTTTAACATAATTCGTAAGCAGCTCTCTTTAAGCTGAAACATCAACCTTTGTTCTCTCTTTTCTTTTCCTTTCTCTTTATTCCTTACTTTGTTTTATTGTCTTTTTATGAATCTCTTTTCTTGGCATATTTTCTCTCATTGTCGGGGGTATTATTACGTACTACTATCTCTCTTTATACGAATAGCCATTATGAAGAATGATATTATCTATCCATCTATAGATAATATGATTACTAAAGGGTTTTTGATTTGTGTTGAAGACGGAAATGTTCAGCAATGAACCTCAAGCAAGTGAAGGGAAGAGGCAAAACTTCTTGATGGCAACAAAGGCAGGAGAAAATGCTTCCAAGAAACCGCGCGTGGAATCACGCTCCTCTTGCCCACCCTTCAAGGTTACTACTTTTTGTTTCATTAAGTACTTGCCACTTAAATTATTAATCGTTTTCTTTTTTTTTCTTGAAGAAAGAACAGAAAGCCTGGATAAATATCAGTTGTTAGTTGTCAAAAAAAAAAATATATATATATATATCAGTTATTAAAAATTTTTTTTTTTAAAAAAAAGTAAAGTGTCTGATGGAGAACATTTATATAAAATGTAACATTTCTACTGTTAATTCAGTATACGGAGATAATCCGTTCAGTATAAACAATAAGACATTTTAAATTAAAACGAAAGTGGAACTTGAGATTGATCATTGTTCATTCTAGTGATCATTGTTCATTCTAGTGATCATTGTTCATTCTAGTGATCATTATATGTTGGGCAATTGAAATAATAGGTGAGGAAAGAGAAGTTAGGAGACAGAATAGCAGCTCTGCAGCAGTTGGTTTCACCCTTTGGGAAGGTAATTAGCAACAGTTAATTCCAGCCAAATTTATTCCACACTTAATGGTATTCATTAATCCTTAGATAATTAGTATATTTCATCTTTTTGTCAACGTATATTTGATCTAAGCAGGTATAATCGTTTATAGCTCTAGCAAAAAAAAAAGAGAAACAATTGAATTAGTCAAACTTTAAAATCTTTCAAGACAACACATAGTAAGAGGATAAAACCCATGAGTTTTTAAGTCTTAGTTTTTTCGTTGCAGTATATGGTAGCCAGAAAAATTTGGATCTTTGATTCATAACCTTTAAAAATGTGTGAGACCAGTCACTAATAGATATAGATCATCGAAGTATAATCATAATAGGATACTTATATGAAAAATAAATTTTATTACAATAAAAGAAGTTATTTTTGTACCACTTAAAAGATAAGTATTGAATCTCAAGAATTTTGCAAGGTAGATAAAGTTGTTTTCGTACTTATAATGTAGATGATAAATTAATTAGCTGAGCTGATTAAAAGGCTTAAGTGCAGACAGATACAGCATCTGTATTAATGGAGGCAATTGGATACATCAATTTTCTACAGAACCAGATTGAGGTAATTAACTTCAATGCATGCGTGTCATACACATTCATATACATCTCTACATATTTTATAATACATAAAACATAGATACTCCATGTTACTTCCATACCTCTATATATATATATATGCAATATATTAAATTTCGTGTTACTACCAGACATTCTTCTTGATCATCGTCCCGTTTGTCAATTATTTTCAACTTTTTATAACAATTAGTATATTCTCTATTAAGAAAATCTAACACATACTGAATAAAGATTAGGAAGTATGGGCGAGCTACACATATAATTATATTCGAAAACTAATTTTTTAGTTCCATAGGCTTTTAGCTTGCCTTTAAAGCAAGAGATTAGTTAGAGTTTGTCTTTTATCTTATCATATCCTCTTTGGCGCACTCCGTAGTAAGTACCTTTCTCCGTTTCTTTATCTTAATTTTAATGGATAATTGGATAAATGTTAATATATATAAGCTGATGTTCGTGGTCATCATTTTATAATCTTAAAGATATATATAGAAAAAAAGTAGTAAAGTTGTTATAGCTCAAATGATGATTTTTTTTTCTGGTTTTTAAATGGGCAGACTCTAAGCGTTCCCTACATGAGAGCATCTAGGAATCGACCAGGAAAAGCCTCCCAACTGGTATATTTGGAGAGCCTATGATACATTACTAGTTTACAAAGAAAATAAGAACACTCTGATTACATTCTTAAGTCCATAAATTTATTTATTTGTTAATTAATTAGGGCTCACTACCACAAGAAGGGGATGAGGAAGAGACGAGGGATCTAAGAAGCCGTGGGCTATGTCTCGTGCCATTATCATGCATGACTTATGTTACCGGAGATGGTGGAGATGGAGGATGCGGTGTTGGTAATGGCTTTTGGCCAACGCCACCTGGTTTTGGTGGCGGAACTTAGCCGTGTCTACCTAACAAACCGTAGGACTATTGAGTATATTTACCGGATTTGGAGGTAGACAAGGGGAAGAAACTAATGTTGAAGGTGGATAATTAGTTTTTTAATCTCATTTGGTTTTGGTTTATTTGAAAGCTTCCGTTTTGATAGTGGAGCAAAGTTGGTCGTCCTGATTAAAAAGTAAGATGTAATTCCAGGATAGACCAGCTTTGATCCATTTATGATTAGTAATGAGATTTGATAATATGTTTTTACTTACATAAAGGGTCTTGAAGAGGCTAAATAATATATCAAATAGCTTTGGATTATTTTGTTCATATATCTCTTGTTATCACTAACCAACGCTGTGTAACTAAAAAAAAAACTAACAAAAGACTGAAGTATGTACATACTAGTATACTGCATACATATGTAACTGAATATTTTCGCTAAGCGATATACTTCTAGTAATGATTTCACAAAAACTACTTCTACAAATGTGTCTGAAGAGACCAAAACAAAAGAAGCAAGTTTATTTTATCTGTTATAGTCACCGGCCGACTCTCGTGAACAAATGTTAGAGAATAAAGAAAGGCACCGACTCTAGTTGTCTAAAAAAGCCTAGATATTTAATTTTCTTCTTGTGATCGACAAAAAATATTAAATGATTTAATTGAAAAACATAGAAAAGAAAAAAATGGCTTGAACTATACCCAAAAAAAAAAGTTCTACGACTTATTCCGTTGGTTTTTAGGTTTTCCGGTGAAAACTAACCTAGATATATCATTTAAACGTTTCTGTCAATTTTAACAATATTTAGACATGTGAATTTGAAGATGACTATACGCAAACTAGTTATTTTAAGAATCTGTACTCGTTTGATTTATGTTTTTTTGTGGTCTCCTAATATGTAAACACAGCTTACGACTTACACGGCCGGGTCGATCATGCAGACATGGATAAGTCTAGTTGGCATAGTGCGTTATCTTCTCTAAGGTAGTCTTACACTACCAAAGGTAAAGGAGAGTTACCTTAACCAGGTCTTGATCAGGGGATATTTCGTTTTTGGCGTTAAGCAGGTTTGACATCTCTTGAAGCTATATTGGTCACTCATCGGCATGCGTCCTTCGTATCAGATTACATTGCGATATAAATAGGCGTTTAGGAATCTTCGGCATTATGATAAGCCCTTCAATGTATACTCAAGACGAGAGAAGACAGTGAAGGAGTGAAGAGGTAAATAGAAGCAGCGCGTGGAGCACGTGCGTGAAGAAGGAGAGCAATTAAAGTAGTATAAATAGAGAAAATATTGTATGAGTAGAGGTATCGTATTTTGTATGTAGAAGAGCGTTATGAGCTTTGTATTCTGTTACGTACGTTATGAGTGCGTAACTGATACAGTTACATATACGAGAGGAAAGATATTTCAGTATTGAACAATTATCCAGAGAAAGAGAGATTATCGATAGAATTACATCAAAGTTCTATCAAATTGGTGCGTCGTGACGAGATCGATCCTACGAAAAAGATGGAGTTCGAATCGGAACATGGTAGCGATGATGGCGATAGAGGAGTATCGGCGATGAAATCGGAGCTGGAGTTTCTTCACGGAGGATTTAAGCGTCTGTGTTCATCGAAAGCTGAAACCGAAGCGAGAATCGAGGAAATGGATAATAAGCTCAATTCCATATTATCGGCGATACAACAACAATCGAAGCTTCCACCAGCAGCGAATGGTGGTGTTCGACCGGTGGAAATTCCTGGATCTTCCCAAAATCCGTATCAGGTACCAAATTTTTCTCCTGGAATGAACCGGAATGACAATCCGTTAGGTTATCGGCCTGGTTATTCAGATCTAGCAAATCGAGATAGTATGTTACGCAAAATCGAAATGCCAGTCTTCGATGGTTCATCTCCGTATGTTTGGTTTGCGGATGTTGAAAGTTTCTTTGAGATTGCTCGTTATGATGATGAAGCAAAATTGGATCTGATTGCACTCTCTTTAACGGGAAGAGTTCGGAAATGGTTTATGTGGGCGAGACAGAGACAAGGATTCAGGGATTGGCGTGATTTTAAGGGAAAATTACTGGTGAGATTTGCTAGGATGAACCAGGCAAGCGGTTATACTCGATCAAGCAGACTGGGTCAATTCGCGACTATATATCAGAATTTGAGGATCTGTCAACACAAGTGACAGGGGTTGATGACAAAGGGTTAGAAGACATTTTCTATAATGGCCTATCTCCTGAAATGAAAGAAGTGATCAAAATGAAGGAACCAAAAGGCTTAGCAAATCACATTGCAGCTGTATTGAAGATGGAGAGTAGTACATTTTGCAAAGTGGTGAGTGAAGCTTCAAAGAAAGAGAATGAAAGAAAACGTTACTCAGGGTCGTATACACGAAACACCACATCATATGGAACATCAAGGCCACAGTATACTCATACGTTCAAGCCAAAGGCCCTAACAATTGAGAATACGGAAAACAAAGAAGGAAATCAGTTGATAAAGCAAACATTACGACCCAGACAGAAATTTACGGATGCAGAACTGGACCTTAAACGAAGCTTGGGATTATGTTTTAAGTGTGATGCGAAGTGGTTTAAAGGTCATGATAAAGTTTGTCAGAAGAAGGATCTACAAGTGTTAACAGTTTTAAACGGGTTCGAAGTAGAAGTATTGGATGAGAATATGTTTGAGCTGAGTGACGATGAAGAGAAATGCGAAGGTGAGCTTAAGCAACTGTCGTTCAATGCCTTCTTGGGAATTGAATCTCCTAAAACGACGAAGGTACATGGAATGATTGGGAACTCGGCGGTGGTGGTGATGTTAGATAGCGGAGCTTCTCATAATTTCATCACACCATTGACAGTTGCTAAAGCAAAGCTGAAACTAACAGACAGTCCTACTTTGGATATTTTGTTGGGGAATGGACTACAAGTGAAAGGTATGGGCGTTTGCAAAGCAATACCATTCACTATGTCAAGTCTCGAGTTTACAACAGACTTTATCTCTCTGGAGTTGGGTAATGTGGATGTTATATTGGGAGTTCAATGGTTGGAAACCCTAGGGACCTGCCAAGTTGATTGGAGAAAACAAGAATTTTCTTTCAAATACAAAGGAGAAAGGGTCACTTTATACGGAGACACCAACTTACACACAAAAAAACTATCCTTGCGAACGTTGGACAACAAAAGAACAGTGAAATCCAAAGGTGTAATGCTGGAGTTTGGAGGTAAACAAGTCTCAGAATCCAAAGAAAAGGTGATTCCTACGGTGATTACAGAACTGTTGCAAGAGTTTGAGGAGGTCTTTGCAATACCTACGGGATTACCACCTATCAGAGGACGAGAGCACATCATTACACTACATAATGGACTAGGACCGATCAATGTCCGACCATATAGATATCCGCAGATGCATAAGGAAGTCATGGAAAGGATGGTTCGCGAAGTGCTCGATGCTGGAACTATAAGGCAGAGTGTAAGTCCTTACTCTAGTCCAGTATTGTTAGTCAAAAAGAAAGATGCGAGTTGGAGATTCTGTGTTGACTATAGAGCATTAAACCGAGCTACCATTTCTGACAAATTTCCTATTCCAATGATCGATGAACTCTTGGATGAATTGCATGGAGCGGAAGTGTTTTCAAAGCTGGATTTAAGATCAGGTTATCACCAGATCCGTATGAAAGAAACAGATATAGAAAAAACAGCTTTCAGAACTCACGATGGTCATTATGAATTCCTGGTCATGCCTTTTGGCCTAACAAATGCACCGGCAACATTCCAATCCCTTATGAATGACCTTTTCAGAGTATTTCTGCATAAATTTGTATCGGTTATTTGCAAATAGAAAGAAGTGTTTGTTTGCCCAAGCTGAAGTGGATTATCTCGGGCGCATAATATCCCAACAAGGAGTGGCAACAGACCCGAGTAAGACAGAGGCGATGCAAAAATGGCCCTCACCACGCACTGTCAAAGAACTCAGAGGTTTTTTGGGGCTCACTGGCTATTATCGTAGGTTTGTCAAAGGATATGGTAACCTTGCTCGACCTTTGACAATCTTATTGAAAAAGGATAATTTTCAATGGTCACCAGAGGCTCAAGTTGCATTTGATGAACTTAAGCAAGCAATGGTAACAGCTCCTGTTTTGGCACTTCCGAATTTCTCTGAGGTTTTTGTGGTCGAAACAGATGTTTCGGGATTCGGGTTAGGTGCCGTCTTGATGCAGAACCAGAAACCTGTTGCATACTTCAGTTGTGGGTTGACACCAAGAGAACAATTGAAGTCAATATATGAGAGAGAGCTAATGGCCATAGTTTTGGCAATACAGAAGTGGAAGCACTACTTACTGGGCCGCAAATTTGTGGTGCATACTGATCAGAAGAGTCTTAAGTTTTTGTTGGAGCAGAGAGAAGTGACATTGGAATACCAGAAATGGCTAACTCGATTATTGGGCTATGACTTTGACATAGTTTATAAACCAGGTATTGAGAATAAAGCGGCTGATGGCTTATCCAGAAGTAT